GATGAATGGATGGTTAGATGGTTAGATGAATGGATGGTTAGATGGTTGATGAATGGATGGTTAGATGAATGGATGGTTAGATGGTTGATGAATGGATGGATGTGTGGATGGTTAGATGGATGGTCCTATCTCAGCGCAGGGGGCTGGACTTGGTGACTTCACAAGATCCCTTCCAGCCTGACATTACAATTATTCTATCCATCCATTCACCCTGCACCACCCCCTACCTATGTACCTATCAACCCATCCCCCTACACACCCCTCTATCGATCCACCCATCCCACTACACACCCCTCTATCGATCCATCCAGCTCCATGAACACCCATCTGTCGTTCCATCCATCCGTCCATCCCTCCCCATACGTACCCACCTATCTCTCCATCCGCCCCATGCACACCCTTCGATCCATCCATCCATCTCCATACACCTATCTATCTATCTTCCCAAACCCTAGCACACTGATCTATCTATTTTCCAGGATTCACATAGATCGACCAGGGCCTGATCCAGCCTAGGAACCCCGGAGTCCGGGACACCGCTGGGCCACAGGAGGGTGGTGGGGTGATGGTGGAAGGGGGGTAGTATTGAATGAGTGGAATGTGCATCACCCCAACCTGAGAACTAGGAACGCTGGGGGGGGCCCTCCCCCCCGCCCCAGCCCCCCCAAGGCAACATGTCTTGATAATCCCCCTCTCCCCCCAAGTGAGAAGCCTGGGAGACCGGCACTGACATCCAGATGTGGCCAGAGGCGGCCAGGGGTGGGGGTGGGATTCCCCCTCTGCAGCCACACTGGGCCCTGCATCCAGATGTGGCGGGAATGGAGGGGAGGGGGTTCCCCTAAACAGCTGCACTGGTGGCTGGATCCAGATGTGGGGGGGGGGGGGGGGGGGGGTTCCCCCAAAACCGGGCCCTGGGGGGGGGGACCCAGGGGGGGGGGGGGGAGGAGGGGGCGTTCCCTGCTCTCCCCTCCGTCCAGCTGTGGCTCGCGCGGGGCCCGGGTACCTTTGCAGCGAGCCTCTCCCTCCAGGTCTGTCTGTCCCCGCGCGGCCAGTCCTGCGGTCCGGCTCTCCCGGGGGGAGGGGGAGCTAATCCCCTTTAAATTTGGGGGCGGGAAGGATCGGCGTAGCCTCCTATGGGAAGGGGAGACGGCTCGGCTAGGCCAATCGGGAGCCGGATGGGATGGGACGGGGCGGGCGATCAAGACAGCCAATGGATGCCCTCTATCTCCAGCGCTGGGAGCCAGGACGCCTGGGTTCTCTCCCTGGCTTTGGGAGGGGAGTGGGGGCCAGGACTCCTGGGTTCTCTAGTCTCCGCAGCTCGGGGAGGGGAGGGGTCTAGTGGATTAGAGCAGAGGGGGTTGGGAGCCAGGACTCCTGGGTTCTCTCCCTG